TTTTGAGACCGAGTTTTATTATGAAGTCCTAGCTGCCTCCTGAGTGTTGGGATTAAGACACTTTTGTTTTAACCAAGTTTGGCATCTTCAGGTCAAGTAACTCCAGAGGTCATACACCATGGGTGTGGAACTTGTATTCTACCTTGATTGGTTTGGCTCTGGAATCTATAGGCTCTGGTGCCTCAGGTCTATCATAAACTCTTAGGTCTAGAGTTTGGAGAATGGACTTGGCCATTGGGCTCAAAGGGCTTCCATTTTCTCCTGTGAAAACAGTATCCCCAGAACTGGAGGGTCTCTTCCCATTTCCTGCCAGGGCCCTGTTCCAGGGGAAATGTAAAACCATTTTTTTCTGATTTCACAGAGAAGGCAACGGATGGCTCCCTGCAGAGTGAGGACTGGACATTGAATATGGAGATCTGTGATATCATCAATGAGACAGAGGAAGGGTATGTTTTTCTGTTACCCCTCATCCTGGGAAACTTTTTAGTTCTTTGAAGGGCATGGAGGGGTCAGATCATACATAACCTGTTAGGGCTCAGGGTGCTAGGTTTGACTCTGGGTTTTTTCAGTTGCTTTGCTTTGGTGTTAATAAGCTAGCATTCAGTGATTTGTTCTTTTCCCATCCTACTCTCCCCCACTTCCCCAATGCCAGTGCTCCAACTGGAGCAGTGACATCTCTTAATCACCTGTTTTGAGTCATGAGTAGAAATGGAGCTGCTTGGTTACCTGAACCATTCATTTCTCCTGCTAAATCATCACCTCGCCCTGCTCTTCTTCCCCAGCCCCTGCCTCCCTGTGGCAAACATAGGAGCTGCCTTGAATTGTTGTCTAATGTGCCATGGTATGTATGGAGGGGAGGCCTAGAATGTCATTTGACCGAGGAGTAAGAAAGGGGAATCCGTGACACAGAACAGCTGAGCATGCCAAGCACATGTGGACTTACCCCACAGCTTTTGCACAGAGTAACCAAGTGTGCTGAACATGGGTGGACTTACCCCACAGCTTGGCATAGAGCAGCCAAGCATGCTGAGCACGGATGGACTTACCTACAACTTGCCCTCTTTCATTCCTGCACTGCTGAGTCCATCCTTTAGTGTTGTTGTGTACTGTGTCGTCTCCTCCTCCTTTATAGCTAGCTCTACTCTATTTGTACTTCTTCCAGACTAGTCTGATTTAGCCATTTGCCCATACCATTAATTCCCCATTTACTGTCACTATACCCTTTTCAACCCCTGAGTGGTGAGGAGAACTGTTAGGACAAGGCAGCCCTGGGCTTGTGTCTTGGTGCTGTTGTCTATTCACTAGTCTTACCAAGTATGAACTAGTAAGTCACTTAACCTTCTGAAGGTCAGTCCTGCTTTCACTCAGCAGATACTTATGAAGCAGATGCCTTGTGTAGGACCTAGGACCCTGTTGTAAGTACAGAGGCCAAAGCAGTGAGTGAGATGTAATTCCTTCCCTTGGGGAGCTGACAGTCTAGATCAGGGAAGCCATCTGTGTACAAGACAAACCACATGCATTGGCCAAGTAAGGTAAGCACTATGGAGGGAGTGAGAGAGAGAAGGCTAGAGATAAGCAATGAACAAAGACTTGAAGGAAATGGGGGAGCGAGGCAGGAAGATTATACAGAGGAAGAACTACCTAAGCAAAGAGAGTAGCAAGCCAAGAAGTTCTGGGACAGCAGGTATCTGGTGTGTTTGAAAAACAGCAAGATGAAATGGAGTGACTAGGGAAGTGGTCTCTAGAGATGCAGTCAGTGATATGGGGATCCAGAAATGCAGTGTTTTGTTTTTTTTTTCAGTGATCCTTTTTTTTTCAATAACCACATGATTAGAAGAAGCATTTCATTACAGCTTTAACATATTCAATAACAATTTCCAGAACAAAGATACATCTCTTTCAAAAGTGGCTATAAATTTTTAGGTTCACAGTTGAATTAATACAATTATACAATATTGAACTCAGTATAAACCCTGGAAGACATAAAATTGAATGAGTTTTTAACCTTTAAAAAAGATCTCCATTGCATTTTAAAATATGCTGTTTCCTACAGAAAGACTAATTTTTAGTGCTACTAACGCTTAGATGTTTGCACATGTGTCTCTAATCTCTATGTACCTGATTATTACTAGTCACAGACAGTTACACTCAGATCCTTGGCACCTGAGTATGGATATAAAGTCATCAGGTAGATTTCAGTGGTAATGTTTATCACCTCTACTAATTAACATGAAGTAAATTTTTATGCTTCTTCCTCAAATATGTCATTTTTTAAATTTGTTGATTTTTTTTTTGTGTATCATACAGAACATCCCAAACAATCTTATTCAACTATATACCTACTTCCCAACTGGCACCCTCCCATACCCCACCCAGCACCTACTGGAGCCCATATACTCTGTCATCCCTGTTACTGTCCACTGCATTGTCAGCGCCCCCAGCCATTCCCTAGTGCTTGTCCATCTAATCTAGTCAGCCTATCTAGAGAGCCTAGTTTTAGGATGATCAGCTGTTCCTCATCTACCAGCAATCAGTTGTCAATATTCCCTTAGATAAGATTGGGGTCCGCTGTTCATTTTCCAAGTTTTATGTTGGGTTACTGTCTGGGAGTCTTTTGGGCCACCCTGGCCAATAACTCAAAGGAAGGTACCTCCTATCTGGCATTGTTTCTTGCTATGTAGCCTTTAGCTATACATATGGACTCTTAAAAAATTATATGGACCCCTTTAATCTTTGGTTGTACTTTCCTTTTGAGTATTTAAGTCTCTACAATTGGCCCAGATAAACCAATTTATTTTTACTCTTAAGGTTGTTTGAGGATCTGTTCCTCAGGGGTAACATGGGCTTGGGAGGAGCCCCTGGCTCTTTCTTTTACCAGTTCTGTCTATGTGACAATAAGTCAAAGGTCCTACTTGACCATGGCTGGCTTCGCTTGGAAGCATGGAGGAAATGTTTTCTCTGTGCTGACCCTCCTCTTTGTAGACTAGACACGGGTTCAATTCCATTTTGTGGGGTCTCCACAGTCTCCTTGATCAAGAGGACAGGTGACTCACTACAGTTACAGGACATTTTGAGAGATGCTCATAGTCCCCTGGAACTTAGTTGACCTAGGAGGGCAAGGAGCAAAAACTGTCCTTTATGTCCCTCTGACCAAATTAGTATAGACCTCAAAGTATGGCTGTTAAACATCCAAGAAGGTTAGTTCCACCAGTCTGGTGGAACTTTTAATTATCATGTACCATGTAGATAAAACTTGGGAAAAGACCAAGCGTTCTCAGATAAACCTTGCCTAGACATATATTATATTCTTTGATCTAGTTGTATGCATAATTTGTCAGTAGGTTGTTTGATTAATATGGTTCCTTCTGGTTTTTTTAAAACTAGCTAGGCATTATTTATCTCTCACATTGTCTAACCCTTCCACCATGGTTTCCTCATTTAAGGTCCCCCAATTTTTCCCATTTCTCCCTTAATAATACCCTTCTCCTATGGTTCCACCTCTCTTGAGCTCCTTCTTTCCCTTTATCCGCTAGGTTCCTTGTATAACACCCCCCCACCTTAAAATAACCCCATTTTTATCCATATCTCCCTTATTAATGCCTGTTTCCTACTGTTCTTTTTTGGATTCTTTCTTTTCCTTTGCCTCTTGGTTCCTTTTCATTATCCTGGTTCCTATAGTTATGTCTGGATACATAATCACTTACCAGGATTTGGTGCTAGGATCCACATATGAGGGAGTGCATACGTCGTTTTTTTGTTTTGAGTCTGTGTTTTCACTTAGTATAACAGTTTCTAGTTCCATCCACTTACCTGCAAATTTCATTTACGAGTAAAACTCCATTGTATAAATGAACCACATTTTCATTATCCATTTATCAGTTGAGGGACACTTAGGTTGCTTCCATCTCTTAGCTACTGTGAGAAGAGCAGCAACAAACATGGTTGCTTCCATCTCTTAGCTATTGTGAAAAGAGCAGCAACAAACATGGATGTACAAGTGTCTCTGCAATAGGATGAGTTCTTTGGGTATATGCCGAAAAGTGGTATAACTGAGCCAAATGGTAGGTTCATATGTAGTTTTTTAGGAGTTCTCCATACTGCTCAGAAATGCAGTGTTTTATAGGCACCAGAATAATTCTGACTTTGATTTCAGGTGAGAGAAAGCTCTTGGGAGGATCTGGGCAGAGAAGTGGCATGGTCTGGCATTCATTTTGAATCTTTACCCTGTCCATTGTATTCAGAATGGCCTAGCCAAGAGCAGGCTAATGACAGAGCAAACCAGTAGAAGGTTAGTCATCCTGGTGTGAAATGATAGTGGACTGGATGGGGATGGTGGTAGGGATGAAGGAAGGGTCATTAGATCCTGATGGGATTCAGAAGGTAGAACCAGTGGAACTAATGTGGGACATGAGCAAAGTGTCAAGGATGACCCCAAGGTCTGAGGCCTATAGAGCAAAGGAATGGATCTGTTGGAACTGAGGTAGAGCAGGCTGTGGGGCAGAGAACAGGCTAGATATGAGCTGGCAGCTCAGTTTCCAGGGGACAAGCAACCCAAGTTTGGGGCAGTGACCTCTTCCTGCCCATCTAATGTCATAATCATAGGGCACAGCCCAGCCACCTTCCTTCAGACATACTTGACCCCTTTCCTTTCTTCCTATGCTCCCTCTCCTCAGATACCACCCATTCAGTTATTTGGCCCCAACAGGTGGAAGGTACCACTGGGCATGCCAAGGTGAATATGTAGTCCACCCATGAGGGCTAATCTTGGGGTGCTGGGGGCTTTGGCAAGGCCTGTGCCCAACATGGCAGGCTCCAAGAGAGGAGCAAGCTTTGAGCTGGGCTTCTAGGTTGGTAGGAAGAGAAGTATGCCTTATGCTCCGGAGGTAGTAGAAGAGCCAGAAGGTTAAAGGATACAGGTGGTCTGAGGTCATACAGGGTGAAGAGGGCATGTCAGGAAGCAGGCTGGAAGGGTGGCCCACTCACTTTCTCTTTGCCTCATCTGCAATTTCCCCTGCAAGCTACATCTTCTGTTCTTTCCTTCCTGTCTGCTCCCTGCTGTACATCTCAACCAAGGACTCCTTGCTTGCAAGCCTCCCAGGGTATTCTCAAGTTCTTAGAGAAAAAACTCTTAATCACACCCCTCTACAGTCCCATTTCAGGTCCCTCAAGTCTCACTGATACTTCTTTTAGCTCCATCAATTCTACACATTTCTATCCCCAGTTTGAAACTCTCTATAAAGATGAGCATCATACAGTATGTTCACCACTCTTCTTTTCTAGGGAATTAGTCAAATACTTATGTGTCCTGGGGGCAAAAAGCCCCCAAACCCTGGGATTTTCTTTAAAAAAGACTGAACCCCTTCCAGAGTATGCTGAGCTACTTTCTCAGTCATAGCTCACAGTAGGCCTGGTTTCATTTTCCCTAGTGGCTCAAGCTCTTGTTCAC